GGACAATTAAACGAATAAATTATTTACTCACCAAGAAGCCACCCATCGCGCACAGTGCCAGCTTGTAGTCTGTTCCCAACCATGCTGTTACTCACAATGTAGGCTATGAATCGTGCGTTGAACCAGGCCACCTCGCCACACTGTTGGTTAATTGCATTTGCGCATCACATATGATCTGTACATTGATCGAATGAAAATGCTTCCTGTTGACAAAAACAAATTCATCCTGCGATGGCGCTTTGTGTGTGCAGTCGATAGCTCCGGTAACATTAGCAAAACCGGCTCTCGCTCTCAAATTGTGCTTTAATGTTGGCCTGTTCAGCTGCATATGGGAATTTGATATACCTGGCTGACATGCGGATAATTCCCACACAGCTGGCATGACTCGGCTCAGGGTCGACTGGCACAGTCCCGATCGGTCGGCCAGCTCCCTCTGGAATGCCCTGGAGCTAGGAGCCCCAGTGGGGTCAACCTAAAGCGGCTGATGAGCCAGTTGTTATCATGTGCCAGTGCCATCTGTCTCTGAACACACGCTCTCTTTGTATTNGCACAGTTCCAGGAGGATTGCCCTCGGGAACCAATGCGGCAAATACTGCTAAAACAGCCGTTGTTGTTAACGGTATTTTTGTCACCACTTTGCGCATGCTTTTATATCCACTCATCTAATTGCAAACACGTGGGTGTGTTAATTGTTCATCAGTGTTAATTGTTCATGTGTCTCTGATGTGCACATCACTCTGAGGACTGACTGTTTTCACATTTATTTATTATAACAGTTTCCCAGCATCATCTCTAAGTGTCACCAAAGGATCAACAGCTGTAGAAACGTGAGTACGCCAGCCATGAAGTTGGCGTGAGTTACCGCACATTTCCACGGTCATTTCACTCTTGATACATCTGAACTTTGCTGTGGAAAAGGACGTACAACACGTTTTTGTGCGTACGCACCCTTTGTACATGAGGTCCCTGGTCTCCAGATTCTCAACCCCTCCTGCTGCCTTTGCAACGGCCTGAGATATTTTTTAGTCCTCTCCATTCCTCCCTTGCATTGTTTTGTTTGAATTACTCTTCCATCTTTTTCCTGCAGTTGTTCTTACCTTTTGTATTTTCGTTTTCAGTTCCTTTTGTACCCTCCTCAGCTCCTCTTTGTCCCCAGATCTAAAACTCCTCTTCTCTTCATTCAGGAAGGAGTTTAGCTCAGTGGTCACCTGGGGTTTATTACTGGAGAAACATCATACCTTCTTAAAAGGCACAGCGTTCTCTACACAGAGGTTAAGTTTATATAGTCCATGACGTGGTGAGTTAAACTGTCAATGTCTTCCCCATGTGGCCTGCACAGTACTCCCCAGTCGGTGGTTTCAAGACAAAGCCTCAGCTGCAACGCCTCAGCTCCTCAGACCATCTCCTCACAGTCCTTTTGGTTCAGGGTTGTTTATGCACCACAGGTCTACAGATAGGCAATAAATACACTAGGTTGTGATCTGAGCGACCAAGCTGGGGGAGCAGGGAGAAGCTGTATGCATCCTTTGTGTTTGCATAAAGCTGATTTAATGTTTTATTGTCTCTGGTGGAGCACTTATCATACTGGGTGAAGGTGGGGAGAGTGTGAGACAGAGCAGCATGATGAAAGTCTCCAGAGATGAGGATACAGGCCTGTGGGTGCCATGTTTGCAGCTGTGATACTACAGTGTGTAAGAGCTGTGAAAGTCAGTGAAATTTATTTTTCTCTAATGCTCCGTAATAATGTTGCATCAAATTATAAATGTTTAGCAACACAATAACAAGGCAGCAAGGGAATGTTAACGATGTGTCCTCGCAACTCATGCGTTGCTAGACAATAGCCGTAGTTGCTGGGCATTCTGGTGCACCACTCAGACCAGGTGTAGTTAAGACTCGGCTAAATCTAGTTGGTGCAACCGACGTGAAGTTCATTTTAAAGACTTGTCTTAACAAAGACAGACTTAGTAGTTGGGACAAGGTTTAGTTAAGACCAGTTGGTGCAACTGGCTTCTGGTGTCTGACAAAAACTGCAACAGAGATACAGTTGTTCGAGAGTAGTAGTGTGACCAGCTTTTATGTCCGTCCCAAAATAGCCAAAGTAAGTTGTAGTTTTAATTACTGTTTTGTGATCCTGTTAATGCTTTTTAATTCAAGAGTGAAAAACAATCAACGCTGTATCACAGCCAGCACTCTTACTGTGCAATTAAAAGAATTAGACACTGTACCTACATTTAAGTACCTAAAAAGTATTTTTTTGATTCATACATCAAAATGACACTGGAAACTGTGGGCTATAATATTAAATATTAATATAAAGTTACTGATATTTCCTCATTTGGTGTTTGGATGCTGTTTATCCTTTAGTTCAGTTTGTTTAGTTTAGTTGTAGTTTGGTTTTGTTATGTTAGGGACAAGGTTCAGATAAATATTGACCTTAGCCAAAGAAAAGTTCATGGGTTCATGAAAAGTTCATGGGGATGTTAAAAAAAATTAATGAAGAGCCTGTTGGACAGCGAATGTTGATTGGCACATTTTGTGAGGGGGAGAGATAAAGGCACAAGGAGAGATAAATAGGTTTCAGTGAAGGAGTCGTCCTGGGAGCGCTGCACATCACGGTTTCAGAAATACTGCGCAGATTGAAGAATACAAAAGTTAAATTCCAGACTGAAGCTGACGACTGAAGCTGACGACTGAAGCTGACGACTGAAGCTGACGACTGAAGCTGAAGACTTCTGCAACATTGTATTACTTCTCAAAGGTACGTGGCTTCACTCCACCTGGTTTGTTTTGAGGGTTAGGATGAGCCTGTTTCTCTCTACAAAAGTCTGGCTGAATAATTCATTGATTTATGCGTCATTAAGAGGATGAAATCCCTCAAGACGGGCAATAATGGCACTGCATGTTCACTCGGGAAAAATTACAAGTTTTGTACATTGCTGAAATTTGGCACTGCCATATTTACAATTATTAAAATAGGGAAGCTGAAGATTAAAACATAAAGCAGGAACCTGGCTATGTTTAACCGTCTGTTTTTTCAATTTCAAATTTAAAATCCCCTCGTGCGACCTATGCATTTTGGCTGAGGTAATGGGCACTCCTGGGTTTTTGTTACAGAAATCTTCCATTATGACTTCAGCATGATGATGCCATGAGAAAAAGGCTGCTTTATTCTTGTGATATTTGGTGTCTGGCACAATGAGAGGTCTAAATTTCTGAAGTCCTTTTCCTTTCCAGTGAGGAGGCAGTGCTGCTGGAGACCCACAGTAAGTGATGATGACTCTGAGGAAGAAGAGTGTTGTCAGTTCTCTGACCTATGGATTTTATATCTATTTTACAGATAATTGATCTCTTTGACTTATCTAATGCCCAGTGTTTGACATTACTGCTGGTCCATTAATACATTTTCAGTTGTTGTATTGCCCAGCAGCTCACACACCAGGCAGTCTAAGCTAATAACCTAAAGTGGTGTTGAACACTGAGTAGGTTGTTGCTGAATTGTCAAGGCAATTGTACCAAAGCAATTTGTGCTGTTGTTCTTGGATGGTGTTGGTAGTGGTGGCTATGTTGTCTGTGATTTTATCTAGCCTCTCTGTGTTGTGCCTCTCTGACTCCTCCAGAGGGTTCACCATCCTCCTCTTTATTTGAAGGCCCTTCTGCACAGCTGGATCTCTTTGGATTTTTCTCTTTAGTCTGTCTCCTCTGTGGCTGTTGAGCTCTGCCTTAAAAAAGCAGAGCAAAAATAGGTTTGTTGAAGATGGAGCAAATCTTACGAGCAACACATTTCACCACATACAGTAGGTACACAGAGGACAACATGCAAGGCTTCTCGACTAGGCAGACATTTAATCCAATAAAATACAATCCAGTGGCCTACAACTGTTTTGTCATAAAGTTATCTGTTATGGAATTATTTTCAAGTTTCACAAATTATATTAAGGTAGAATTTATACATTTAAAAACAATGGCCTCTGAGTGAATGCACCTGTGCTGCTGTAGCATACAGCATCAAATACATCATGCTTAACAGCAATGAACAAATGTTCTTGACGCATTTCCTATCAACTCTTAACAACCTTCAGCATCTAACAGACTCTTCATTTGAACTTAAAATCCAAAGTGGGAGTCTCACAACGCGTGCTGGAGGCCAGGCAGTCTTCCACGCTGATCTGCATATTAACTGTTTTGATGCCAGCTTCTATGGTGCAGGTGACCCACCCCATATTTCCTCACACAACTTGAAGAATATTAAAACCACACCTCTCCTCTGATGGCTTATGGCTGAGTCTTTTTCATGCAGGAACTCCTTCCCTTTACGCGCTGCGCTTGTTGGATATTGCTCTAAACAAGCCTCGAAGATGTTGAAGTATTTCGATTGGCATAACTTCCAGTCATCATTTTCTTGAAATGTACTTGCTTTGAAGTTCAGGGTCACTTAGAGTCAGTGTTTATGTGTGAGCCATTTTATTTGTTTATGCCTCACCCCTCTGTAAAAGGAAGGCAAGGCAAGGCAAGTTTATTTGTAGAGCACAATTCGTACACAAAGTAATTCAAGGTGCGTACGTGCACAGGCACATGTTCCTTTGTTACAAAGTTACACTGCCAACTGCTGGACTGGTATGTATACTACAGCATTTTTAGTTGTTTTTGCAGATCCGTGTGCACGGTGACTGTTATCAAAATGTTGTCGTCTGAACACGGAAAATGGAAAAAGAAACACTTCCGTTTTCAGCAGATTATTTTTGTGTAAACATGTCAGGACAAACATGGATCGATTTTAAAAATGGTCAAAGTTTGCCTTTAAACCTACTTTGAACAACTTACGCTCTTCTGGACGTTGATCCACAAAATTTGTTGATATTGCTGTAGAGATTTTTATTCCGGGTCAAATATAAGGCTAACGCAAAATTTCTAGCACATTGACAAAGGGAAGCGTATGTCTGAAAGGTGCTCACATGAACCAAGCTAATGTGCTGCTGTGTGTGTTACTGTGTTTCAGGGAGATGTGGAGGTTTGTCCTGACTGTGAGTCTGCTCTGCTGGAGGTCTGAGGGCACTGTGACCTGCAGAGACAAGAACAATGGGTCTGTGGACTGGTGAGGCAACACTTGACTTTTAGTAAACCTTCTAGCCAAATCCTTCAAAAGGTACTTCTGTCAGTACTCTGATGTAACAAACATGTGTATTTGATAGGTCTGTGAAATCTGGTTAACATTTCCCCCTCTGAGTTTGCTTCTTCTCAGTTCATGTTGCTGTTCTGTTGTTTATCGTCAGGTACATCATTTACAAGGCTCCCACACAGACACCGTCTCTTACTGGTTTGGAGTATCTTTACATTGACTCAACTGAAATGACAAAGATGGTACCCTCAACACCTAACTATAAGAGCATCAAAGATCCGAATGGCGTCCTGGCAAACACCCTGTGGCCCCTCTTCACTCCAATCAGGTCAATGGTGAGAATCAATGGTCTGGTCATGGGCTGGTACCACCAATATGTTATAATCTCTGAGAAAAACAGTGAGTGTGAGTTGTTGAGTGTGTTCACATGGACATCAATAACCCATTTATGAGGCTTATCCTGGTTATGATCAAATACAGGGTATGGTGTTTACACGAGTGCAGAGATATCAGGTTACACAAAAAATACTAGTAACGTGGTTACAGATGACTGCAGTCTATCTGCACAGGCACTTGGGATGTTTACAAAAACAAACTGCCAATGGAAGATGAGAGTGACAGGACATATTACTTCCACTTGACAACTTAACTGCTAATTTCTTGTCTGCTCCAATCGCCAACAGCTGTCTGCTCTGAGCTTATCCATCATCTAATTTTTCCTCTCTCAACCGTGCGCACACACAAACACTGAACACTCAACTCTTACAACACTTTCCTCCACTTTGACCGATGTCAGGCTGCCGCTGTCACTACCAATGTGTACTGCAGGGGAGCAGTTGAAGGACATAAGCAGCTTCTGTCATTACCAAATAACAAAACTGCATTTCATCATCTCTTCAGAAGTGAAAAGCTGTTGCCACCAGCATAGCTTGTATTTCTGCTACGTCACTTGGCTGAAGCCGCCTGATGCCTGGCAGGTATTTGTTGGCTCCCAATAAAAGGGATAAGGTCTATTCATGCAACAGTGCTCGGGTTTTCTTTTTTATTCCAGGTATCATAGTCAGGTTTCTCATAAGCAGAATACTGTGTTTATGAAAAGGAGATATGGATTTTACAAGCTCAAACACATAAACTGAATACTCCAAAACCTGATGAGGAACAGGTTCTTCACGTCCATGTAAACACACTCACTGGCTGCGGTTACATGATGGCTTCTCATTCAGAATGAAATCAATCTGAATGAAATCATTCAGAATTAAAGTTTTCCAGGTAGTTTACATGGGAAATATTCATTCTGAATGAGGGTTTACACAGGAGATCAGTTTAATCGCCTTTTAATCACCTGCATTCTGGTCCGCACAAGGCTTGGGGCAGGGAAGGTTTCTGATTGGATAGGGGGCGGGGCGGATGTTACGTGTTTACCAGAAGAAAACACTGTAGTCCTCGCTCCGGATAACAAGACGCTTGACGACGCCGTTCTTAGTGCCTTTTTCAGGCTTGTTTTGCTTATATTCTTGAAGCAGCAGTACGACAACAACCTTGTTCTGCTAATGCTTCGTCTGTTGAGGAGGAGAAGGGAGGTAGAAGGTCGAAGAAGGGAGATCGAAGACCGTGCTGTGGCGAATGTAAACCGGTGAGTGCAACGAGTCCGACTGCTCTATCTCAGCCCGTTGCTATGCGCGCTTTATACGTCATGGCGCCAGAAGGGCAAGGAAACGAGCATGTGCAGAAAGACCTGAATGAACTTAAAGAGAGAATGAGTGTATACAAGTGTGAGAAGTTCGGAATTAGGTGTTTAAATGATCACTTTTAATAGGAATGAACTTTCATTCTGAATGAAAAGGGAATTAATCTGTCCATGTAAACACACTCAGTGTGCTTCATGAAAGCATTAGCACTGTATCTTAACACACTGGACAAAATTCTGGGCTCTGTACATTGGCAGTCTCTGATATTGCGAGTCGCTGACTGAGGGAAATGATGTAATATAAATGTCACCTTTTGTAAGTATCTGCTATATTCTATATTCTTAATACAATAGTAACCTAAATAAATGCAATCAGATTTAATATTATGTCAGCCTCCTCTCTCTCACCCCACGTTTCCTGCCTGCCTTTCTACTGTATAATATCAAGGACAAAAATGTACTGAAGATGCTATTGCTAAAGTTTACAGAAATGTACTTACAACACGCACTAGCATGACAGTTTGCACTTTAGTTTGTTCAGTTCAGCACATAGCATATCTGATGAGGCGGATGAATTTGCATGATTCTTGCACTTTTTGGAGTAGCACCCACAGGGCTAAATGCACTTACTGTAAATCACTTTAAAGTGAAAGTTTCAGCTAAATAAATGTAATGCAGTGTTTATGTATGATGTGAGAAGCAGGTGATTATTTACAGTATGTTGTGGTTGCGCATGTACGGAGGGATTCTCTGTACTTGTAAAATATATTATTAATCTTTGTTTCTTCTCTGTTCTGTCTTCTGTTTGTAGCCGCAGGACTTTGGGTTCATCAGCTATAGCGATCAACCTCCAGGATGTAATGCTAACCCCACAATGTTTGGCCACAGTAAAGGTAAATACCATCTTCTTACAAAGAACATATCTTCTACTATTTATGGGAAGCTGGAAAATAGCAAGAAGTGTGTGTGTGTGTGTGTGTGTGTGTGAGTGTGTGTGAGAGAGAGAGAGAAAAAAGAAAGACAAAGGCAGGTGTGGTGATCAACAAGCCGTTTGGCCTACAAAACAAAATGGCTGACAACAGAGAACTACCAAAATGGCCGAATCAAGGCTGCTTCAGTTTTCGGGGGAGGTGTCTGTCTGACCGTGTGGTGGTATAC